AGAAACACATGCCGCTTATTGTATGTGATGTGCATATATACATACAGCACTGAGAAATGTATGGGCCTCTGTGGATGCCCTTAATTTATATTAGTGCTTTATCATCCAGAAAAGTACACTGTCTACACGTTTTGTGAATCTCTTAGCTGCCCTCTGTCCCCAGAGTAGAGAACACATTAGAGAATGTTCCTGTGTTAATTACTGGATCATTCCAGTCGCTGACGTAAGTCAGGGCCAGTTCTCTTCCCTCTCTCATTTCACCTTTAGTCAAATTAAGAACGTCGTCCGTGGCTGTTTGGTAAACACGTTGTTTTTCTCCTAGGGATTGTTGACATTCAGGGACGTGGCCATAGACTTCTCTGAGGAGGAGTGGGCCTGCCTGGACCCTGCTCAGCAGAATTTGCATCGGGACGTGATGCTGGAGAACTACACAAACCTGGTCTCTGTGGGTGAGGATAACTTCCTTTGAGGAATCTTAGTGCACCCTCAGGGTTTTATTTTCTTATGGAGTGTTTTTGGGAATTTCTGCTTTGCATGAATGAGTTTGAGATCTCTGCTGTCAAGGAACACTTTGGGGTTTGTTGGTGTAGAAAGGAGAATCTTCAAGTTGTTTCATCTTGATAAGAACCTTCCCCTTTCTTGCGCTGACCTGTGTGCTTCACTCTAGATGGGTGACAATTCTAAAAATTTGGTAGCATCAAACATTATTGTCCAGACCTTAAAATTCAGTTTTTACCACCCGTTTTTGACGTAAATACTAGATAGTGGAACTAAGAACTCACACATTTTAAAATAATTTCTGAATATCCTACTGGTTCTGTGAAGAAACAGTATTTTGGGTTTAATTTTCTAGAACCTCTACAGCGTTCTTTCTTCTCTACAGAGCACAGTACTAGGTTGGTAATTGGAGAATCCTAGCAAGAGTCATGTTGCTTCTTCCTAATGACACAGGTCTTGCTGCCTCTGAGCTGGACCTGATTTCCTGTCTGGAGCAAAGGCAAGAGCCTGGGAGTGTGAAGAAACATGAGGCAGTAGCCACACACCCAGGTAGGTGGGAGCGAATGAAGCAGGTGGCACAGGTGAGAGGTTCAAAGGTCAAGGGAGAAGCCAGACTTTAAACTGTGGTTTGGGAATCTCTGCTCCAGTGGAAATGCTTTCTGAGGAGCCTGGGGTTCTTTTTCTCGCTCTCACACAGGGGCATCTTCTGCCCCGTGCTCCAGCATTCTCTAAGGACCCCACTTCCCTTCAGTGACCTTGCTTCAAGGTGACAGTGAGAGCGAAAGTCCTCTTCATGGCTTATGAGAAACTGCATGATCTGAGTTCTCCTGCATTGCTTTTGGGGACACGGGAATATGTGCATAGTTTTGAGGAAGTCCATTTTAAACTGTTTTTTATCTTCCCTTATTGCATGATGTCCGAAATGTGTGTGAGCAGTGGTGTTATTGATACTTGCTTCAGAAATCCCAGAAACACCAGGGACAGATGCACATTTTCTCCTTTATGATTTTGCATCATATAGAGGTTTCCATTGTCATCTTGCAGAAATTCATACTCGGTAATTTTATCAGA